TTTGTGACTTTTACAAAATTTTTAAAGTATCGCCAGGCATGGTGGCACACACCTATAATCCCAGCACTCGGGAGACTGAGGCAGGAGGATCACTGTGAGTTCAAAACCAGCCTGGGCTACATAGTGAGTTCTAGGTCAGTCTCAACTATGTAGTGAGACCCTGTCTCAAAAAACCGCCCCCCCCAAAAAAAATTTTTTTTTAAAAAAGTATCAGAGATACCTCAGTTCTAGGAACATGGGCTCAATACCAAGTGCCCTCCCCCTATACAAAAACTAATTTGGAGGAAAAAATCTTTATTTTAAAATTTAAAATGGGGAGGGGTTGAGATATGTACGTATACCAATTCCCTGCAGTGAATGTGATCATTATCACTGAAAAAGTACTGAAAAAGTGTGTTAATAACATTTTTAATAAAACTATATGTATGATCTGGGCAAAGTGGCACAAGCTTGTGATCCCTGCACTCTAGGAGGCTGAGGCAGGAAGATTAAAAATCCCAACCCAAAGCTGGGTGTGGTGGTGCACACCAGTAATCCCAGCACTCAGGGGGGTTGATGCAGGAGGACTGCCGAAAGTTGGAGGCCAGCCTGGGCTACACAGCGAGACCCTATCTCTAAATAAATAAAGAAAGGATAAAAACAAGACCCAGCCTAGGCTGGGAACCTCACAATTTAGGGAGATCCTATTTTGAGATTTAAAAAAATAATTAAAAAGTCTGGGAATGTAGCTCAGTGTGGAAGCCATTGACTTAATCCTCAGTGCCCTACACATACATGCAATAAATAGCAGTGTGCTTCTCTCATCTCCATAGCTGAAGCTGGGGCATCTGTTTTCAGAATTCTTTTTTTTTGGTATCAGGAATTGAACTCGGGTCCTTGCACTTCTGAGGTAGGCAGCAGAACCACTGAGCTAAATCCCTGGTCCCATGGGTCATCTGTTTTCAGCCAGCCATTGTAACAAGGTGCTTTCAGGCACCAGCAACTGAAAGCCACGTTCTAAAAGAACTGGCTTGGATGGGGCTATGGATTTAGCTCAGTGGTTCTGCTGTCTGCCTTGCAAGGGCCTGAGTTCGATCCCCAGTACCAATAAATGAATAAATCAATAAAATAAAAGAACTGGCCTGACCGAGCATGGTCGCACATGTCTGTAATGCCAGGACTCAGGAGGCTGAGGTAGAATGGCTGACTTTGAGGCCAGCCTGAGCTACATAGTGAGATCAAAGCCAGTCTGCATTTTCTCAATAAAATAAAGCACAGGCTCCAGTATGCTGCCATGCACACTGAGGGCAGACCCCTGGTTGATCCCTGACCAACTGCAACATAGATGGAGTGCGTACGAGGCCTCACTGAGCTCCTAGCGTGGAGCTGCTCTGTGCCTCAGCCTCCTCCTCCGTACAGCACTAGAACTGCTCAGCGCGAGGGAGGCCAGAGAGCCGACACACAGCATCCGGAAGTGTGGCTGCCTCTGAGGCTAAGCACACAGGAAGCAGGTCTACATCTGCACCGTGCCACATCTGAACAGCGTGTTACAAGGGTGGATTCTGTATTCAGCTCCGGGGTGTTACTAGTGGTAGAGCACCTGCCTAACACGTGTGGGGCCCTAAGTTCAAACGCCAGTCCAAAGAAAAGCAAACGCCCTGCCTTCACCTGCAGAGGTGATAGGGAGGAATGACGAGAATCTCATGCTGCTGTTTGTCTTCTTTAATGCATTTTTTCTGGTCTTACCCATAGCAGAGATGCAGAATTCATTAGCATACAGAGCGATAGATAACTAATCAGAGAGAGAACACAATCCTGCATGGGCACTAAGGTTAAAAACAGGAATGGTGAATGCAGATGTCCTCCCCACCCCTCCCAGCCTCCAATCTCAGGATCACGGTATCATCCTCAGGGCCGTGACACAAGGAGGCACTGCCGTCCACCCCCTGACCCTGGAGAGCTGGACTGAGATGAAAGTCTGGACCATGGTGTCGGAGGTGCCTTCACCGAGGTGACAGCATGAATGACGCACTCAGAAATGGCCATTAAAGTAGCTGGATATTCTGACATGAAGCCTGAGAAACCTTAACCACAGCGTCTGGGGACCTGGGGGTAGAGCTCAATGCAGAGCACTTGCCCAGCATGCAGGAGGCCTTGGGTTCAGTGTCCACCACTGAAGAAAACAACCCCCAAAACACCGGGAAGCCAGGCGTGGTGATTCATGCCAGTGGTCTAATGCTCTGGGAGGCTAAGGCAAGAGGGCGGCAAGTTGGAACCCAGCCTGAACAACTTACCAGGACCCTGTCTCGGAGTGAAGGGTTGTGGACACAGCTTTGGTGAGCAGTGATACAGGGAACTTCTGTAAATAATCTAAAAACCTACAGAATGTTAGGAAAGTGTAAAGTGACTTTTGCTGTCTCTAACAGCAATCTGCTTTGTTTAGTTCAAAATTAACAGACACTGGCGGCACTGACCATGAAACGGGACATCTGGCCTCATCCCTAACCTTGAACACGCCCTTCCTGTGCACTAGGATAGCTTTGAGTTTTTTGTTTTGTTTTGTTTTGAGACAGGGTCTCACTATTGTAGTTGAGACTGACCCGGAACTCACTATGTAGCCCAGGCTGGTCTCGAACTCACAGCAATCCTCCTGCCTCAGCCTCCCTGAGTGCTGGGATTACAGGCGTGTGCCACCAGGCCTGGTTTATAGCTAGAGGAATCTTACAGTAAACTCCCCAACTGCAAAGAACTGTTACGTCTGGGTTAAAGTTAACTATCTTGTGACCATGATGTGAACTGAGGAAATGAAATGTAACCGCCTGAAGGAAATCATGGCTGTAAAACCCTATAAAAGAGGAAACTGCAACCCAGTAGGAGGTCCATCACTCGCACTGCCTTTCTGAATGCAATCGACCCTTTTCTGACAAAATAAACTTATTTCCCTTCAGCTCATCTCTATGTGCATGTCACTTGCCGATTCCTTCTGCAACAAGCAGGGCCTGGCTTCAATCTCCAATACTTAATTATAACATTTAAGTAATGCATAACTCTAAATGAATGTTATTGGAAAACATTTCATAGGTAATTTTAAAAATATCTTATTGGGAGCTGTGTCTGGCGCACTTGAAATGGTTCCATCGCTGGCTTCCCTAGCACTCAGGCCCCCGGCAGGCAAAGTGGTGCAGCAGATGGAAAGCAAAGAGGCTTTCAGCAAGGCTTGGCTGGTGCAGGGGATAAACTTGCAGATTTCTCAGCCTCGTACTGAGTGCCTTGCAAAATGATCACCCCTTTCCTTCATTCTGTCTGGAGAATATTCCAGCGTGTTGTTTCCCGGAGTAAATGTGCACGGCCATCAGGACACCGCTGCAGACAACGCAGTCAAGTGCATGCCAACCTTCTATTTTTTTTTTTTTTTTTTTTTTTTTTGGTACCGGGGATCAAACTAGGGTCCTTTGCTTACAAGGCAGGTGGCAGAACCACTGAGCTAAACCCCTAGCCCTCTTCCGGTTTTCTCAAGGGTGAAAAAGTGGTCAGGTTTTCTGGTGCCAATAAATGCTTGAGCCCACCCCTAATGAAGTAGTCTGTATTTTCTGAAGAACGTAACCAGCCATCAATTGTTTAAAACATTTTATGAAAAGTATAATATGGAAACTATACACCCAATTGCTATCTGCTTATAAATGACAGTATTAATTCTACCTTTTCTAAAAAATATAGGTTATCAGAGCTGGGCATGGTGACTCACACTTGTAACCCCAGCACTCAGGGGGCTGAGGCAGGAGGATCCTGAAAGTTTGAGGCTAGCCTGGGCTACACAGTTTAAGGACAACCTGAACCAAAAAGGGTGACCCCACCTGAAAAAAAGCAAAGCAAATAAATGTTTATATGGCTCAATGAGAGAGCACTTGCCTAACATGCACAAAGTCCTGGAATCAATTCCCAGCAGTGAACCAAAATAATTGATTTATTGAACATAATAAAAGACTTTATCCTGCAATCTTGTTATCCATTAATTCCACCTTCTCTGTAGACCACACAGTTCAAGAATCTCAGATGAATAGTACTGATTACATGTTTTTTTTCTATACATGCATACCTATGTACCTGATAAATTTAATTTATAAATTAGGAACAGTAATAGATTAACAATAAAATAGGAGAATTATAGCAATATAGTGTAACAAAGCTATGATCCAGGTGTGGTGGCACATGCCTGTAATCCCAGCACTCGGGAGGCTGAGGCAGGGGGATTGCTGTGAGTCCGAGACCAGCCTGGGCTACATAGGTCAGTCTCAACTACATAGTGAGACCCTGTCTCAAAAAAACAAAACCAAAAAACCCAAAAAAACCAAGCTATGTGAATGCAGTCTCTCTGTTGCCAATGGGTGGATAGCATATACAGCATGGATACACTGGGGAATAATTTACATCCTGGCTGGGATGGGGCAAGGTGGCTTGAGACTTCCTCACACCATTTACACAATGACAATTTAAAATTCTAAGAATTTCTTGTATAATTTTCCATTCATATTTTTGTACTATAATTAACTATAACTGAAACCAAGGAAGGGGAAATCATGCAGTGTGTGAAACCACAAATAGGGGAGACTAATGTAATTTATTAGTTTCAGCTTTTTAAAATGGTAGATGGAATTTTAAATGTCAATGTCCAATTACCCTTTGCTAGAACATAGACTATAATTGGACTTTGTCCTTGTAGCCTGCCATCTTGTGAAATTCATTAGCTCTGGCAGCTCTTTTGTAGGTTCCATAGGGTTTTTTAATGTATATAATCTGAATAAAAAAGTTTTACTTTTTCATTTTCAGATTAAAAAAATAAATACATACAAGTCTTGGCTGAGTGAGGGAAGAGTATTATCGGGGAGTTCAAGGTTAGTCTTTCTCAGACTAATAAATCAAGTACCTCAGAATTCAAGACACATTTGGGCCGGGGATTTAGCCCAGTGGTTCCACCGCCTACCTGGCAAGCTTAAGGTCCCCGGTACAAAAAAAAAAAAAAAAAAAAAAAAAAAAAAAAATCAAATCACATTTGATAATTGACTTCATATCTATGAGACTGGCATTGTATCATCACGACAGTAATGTTTCTCATAGTTGCTGAAAACGTGGGTGAATGAAAAAAATCTCTTCTGGTTTTGGGTGCAAGGTGAAACTTACAACGCTTCTGGAAACGGGATCAAGTTCAGTTGGTCCTAAAGAGTAAGTTGCAATGATTAACAGGTTGTTTACATTTCATCATCTGACACTGACAGGAGTTTAAGAGGCTCGGGATCTCTTCCAATATAGAAATAAGGCCAGATGGTTTTGGTGAAACGATGATGGAAAGTGTGGAGCAGGGACCCGTCGTCCACGTTGTAGAAGGAAATCTCTCCCAGCTCGTAGTCCAGGAAGACGCCGATCTTGCTGGGCCTCACTTTGGGCACGATCTGGGCTTTCTGGGGGCCGAAGGCGAGGTAGCCGGTGTCCACGCAGCGCCCAAGGGCCCAGAAGCCGGGGCACGCCGTCACCGCGTTGCGCCAGTTGCGGGGCAGGCAGCCCCGGCAGGCGCCCAGCGTCCACTTGGGCTTGGTGCCCACCTCTACCTCCCAGTAGTGCCGGCCGCTGGTGAAGCTCTGAAGACCCAGGACGGCGGGGCACAGGTAGAACCTCCTGGGGGCGTAGCAGACCGTCCTCCAGGTGTCGTGGTAGTGCACCGTCTTCTTGTCGCCGGAGACGGTGAGCTGCGGGTGGGCGGTGGCCGGGTCGTAGAGCACCTGGACCCGGAAGTGCTGCGCGATCCGGCCCAGGCCGGAGAACTGCGCGGGGAGCCTCACCTCGAAGCCGCTCAGCTCCAGGGTGCAGGTGCAGCTGTCGGGGCGCCTGAGCTTCTGCCACCTGTCCTCGATGCCCTTCAGGGACCTCAGTACAGCCACATCCGAGCCTTCGCTCCTGTTCTCCACGTGCTTCAGCAGGCGCTTTAGACCGGACGCATGGGCGGAGAAGGCGCCCAGGCTCCGGTTCACTTCTGCTAAGATCTGCACCTCTTCCTCGCGTGTCTTTCTGAGCGCAGCCTCCTGCTCGCCCTGCAGGAACTGCCGGACTTGCTCGAACTCCTCCTCGATCTCCCTCCTCCTGGCCTCGGCCTCCTTACGCAGCTCCAGCGTCTTGCTGCCCTGCAGCGCGATCATCTTCTCCAGCTGCTCCACTCTGCTCCGCAGCGGCTCCACTCTGCCCTCCAGCAGCCCGCGGTGGTGCGGCGCGGCGCTCTCGATGGGGCTCACGTGGTGGTCCAGGTGCTTGGGGGTGAAGCTGCAGCGCGTGCACAGCAGCTCCAGGTCCTTGTCGCAGAACAGCGTCAGCGCCTGATGGTGCTTCTTGCACGCAGCGCGCTCTGGCTGCTGCGGCCACTTGCGCTTGCTCCTCCGCACCCCCAGCTTCTGCACAGCCTCCGCCAGGCTGCGGAGCTGCGGGTTCCGGCGGAAGCTCCTGTCGTAGTAGGAGAAGCGGCAGATCGGGCAGGGGAAGGTGTCGGCCAGGTCCTCCCAGCACGCGCTCAGGCAGTCACAGCAGAAGTTGTGTCCGCAGTCGATGGTCACCGGGTCTTTGAAGTAATCGAGGCAGACGGGGCAGCAGCTCTCCTCCTGGAGGGAGGCCACCGTCGAGGCGAACGCCATGGGGCTGGCGTGGTGCGAGTGGGTGCCCCTCCGTCCTGCAGGCCTCCGGCTACCAACGAGGTCTTCACTCCTCCGCGCCCAAACCCAGAGGACAAGAATTCAAAGCTGCGGCTTTTCGGATTAGTCCACGGACACCGCAGTTTAGCGGGTTTCTTCAAGAAAGATGTGATCCTTCCTGGGGGAGAGAGAGAAGAGTTTGCTTTTCACAAGGTGCAAGTGTGAAACTACAGGTTAATAGTTGATTCAGGCGGGAATCATCAGGGACTGCAAAAGCTATTAGGAAAATTCACAAGAGGATGTAATACAGTTTGAGAATCTCTCTCTAAATGAGGCATGCTGGCACACCCCTTAATCCCAGCACTGGATAGGGTGAAGCACGAGGATGCTGCAAATTCCAGGCCAACCCAGGACACAGAAAGAGTTCGAGGCCAGCCTGAACTACATAGTGAGACCCTGTCTCAAAATAAAACCACAACAGCAGGGTGTGGTGGTGCACGCCTGTAATCCCAGCACTACAAGACTGTTTCAGGTTGCAGTTGAGTTCTGTAGAATGAAGCTGGGCATGGTGACATAGACCTATAACCCCAGAATTCAGGACACTGAGGCAGGAGGATCACTATGAGTTCCAGGCCAGTCTGGGTTTCATAATGAGTTCAGGTCCAGCCTGGACTACATAGGGAGATCCTGTCTCAAAAAAACAAAACAAAAACCAAAAAACCCTCAAACAGTAGAGAGATAGTGAGTTGTTTTTTATAGGAAAAATAATCTATAAACAAATAGAAATATGTTAAGATGCCAGTGCAAGAGTTGTTACCTAAAATTTGAGACAGTTTTTACTGTGCTGAGGACTGGACCCAGGGCCTCATGCATGTAAGGCAAGCACTGTGCAACGGAATTACATTCTGTGCCCCAGTTAAGATTCCCCTAAAACATTAAAAAAAAAAAAAAAAAAAAAAAAG